ATGGCTTGGATTACACTGCGATAGTGTTGATCCAATGATTTGCATTCACGCAATTCATTGGCCATTTTCTTGACACCATAACCGCCAAAGATGTGCATTGAATTGCCTTTAAGTGCTTCAGCATTATTGGTGACAAAGTGGTGCCATTGCTCTCCTCCCGATTGTCGTGTGATTTCCTGATCAACCAAATGAAGTATTTCTTCAAATCCATGTCGAGCCAGTTGTCCGCCGTATGTCTTATCGATTGAAAACACAATCCGATGTCCTCGAGCCGAAAGTTCCGAAGCGAAACCATGGCTAGCATTTAGTCGACCCCTTCCATAGCCCGGTGCGAACAATACGGTCAGTTTAGTTGTCATTATCTTTATTTTGTCAAATACTAATTTTTACGTAAGCTCTCAAATAAATAACATTAAAATTGAAAGTGATTGAATTAATATCATAACCGCTTTTATATACTATTTCATACTTCAAAATCTCAATAACACTTTATTTCATAGACGATAGCAATGACTTATTGAATTAATTATTTAGCTTGTTTTAGCATTAGATAATTTATTCAATAAAATAAAATTATTATAATATATAATTTTTAATTACATTTTTATTGCACTTATCGAATAAATTAAGTCTATACCCACGAGCTATATTTTGATTTAAACAATTTATCATTTGGCATTACTAATGCTGCATTAGTATTCCTAAATTATGGCAATATATTTAACTAAAACTTTACATTTATAGTTTTATTTTCTTGTATATATTTTGTTAAAATTTATAATAAAATAAACATATAAGCAAGTATACTATTATTGTATAATTTTTAAATAAAATTAAAATCAGCATCATAGTCTATGATTTATAGAGTATATGTGAATTCAAGAATGAATGAATTTAACATATTTTGATATTAGGATCACTTCATTTATTATACAAAATATTTTTAACATGTCAAGAATTTAAAAAGTTTTATTGATTTTAATTTAATAAAATTTAAAAATCAAGATAATTTAATCATTACATTAACTTTTAATTTTTTTTATTAATGTGTAGAACTACACTAAAACGTGTAGAACCACTCTACTGTACATCAATAATGAATGTAAGTAATGTACATAATTTAATTTCATATCAAGCACATTAAACATTTTATATTAACTTAATATTGTTAAAGGTTTTATTTTTAAATAACCAGAATCTACTTGTTTATAAATTGTATTTTATTTTAGTTTACATTCATATTAATTGTTATATAAATCATATAGGATATAAACTATCTTGTTTTTAAAAATAACAATATTATTAGTATAATTTATTTAATTTATAGTATTTTAAACAATGTTTTTTATTGTAATACACATTTACAATGCTCTATATTTTAATAATAAGATAGCAACTTTAACTTAAGATGATGAGATAGAGAATAAAATAATGCTGATAAAGTCAACACAAATATTTTAATTATTTAATAACTAAAATATATAATTATCTTGTATTTTATTTTTAAATTTGAAATACATATAAAATAGTTTTATCATTATTAACACTATTTTAGCAATTTATACTGTATTAGAATTAAATATTCTGTATAATAATTAAACATAAAATTATAATAGGTATTCTGTATACAATATATCTAATATTAATATGTATACAACAGGATTTATATAACTAAATGTAATAATAACAGTATTTAACCAAATAAAATTAAAATCTTTCTAAATAACACAAAAAAGAAGATTAAAAATTATAATCTTTATTAAATCATTACATTAAATTCCAATACATTATCACCATTTTACATTGTAGCATAATATTGTAACAGCAAAGTTATATTTAAAATTATAATTTTTATATTTTAATTAAAATCTAAAAGAATTTGTTTAAATTTAATTAAATAAAATTTATTATAATTTGAAGCCAACTTTATTGTTTTGCAGTACTCTTAAAATAAAATTAAATATAGTATATTGTATAGTATATAGTATGTTATATTTGCGGTAATTTAAATTATATGATATTTTAGTTTTTCATAAGTACAAAAATGATTATAAAATTATATTAGCTAACATTGATTGATTTGTATACTTAGAATTGTATTTCATCTTTCTAAAGTTTTTTGAATCCAGTCTAAATAATATGGAATATATGTATAAACTCCAGGAAAGTTTGGTTGAGCGCATTTGTATCCAAATGAAACAACTCCTAATAGATAATTGATAGATCGAAACTGAATAGTTAACGGTCCACCAGAATCGCCCTACATACACGGTTCAATATCAACATGTTAATAATTGCAATCCGTAATCAGTATACACGCGCCGCCTTAGCCACTCTGAGGGGGCTAAGGGTGGATAAGGCGGCAAGTGTATACTGATTAGGGATTGCCCAAAATAATTGGATAATTTATTTATAAATGATAATGTTTGATTATTTGTTTTGATAAGTTTATATTAAATATTTTTAATAGTGTATTTACAGTATTTTTATACTGTAAATACATTATTAAAAATTTAAATAGTAGTATATTATAGTATATTGCATTGTATATTGCACAGATAAAATAATAATCACCTGGCAGGCATCCTTACCACCTTCTTCATAACCGGCACATATAATGGATCTCTTCATTCCTACGGGATATTTATCCCCACTTTCTATTAAATTTTTATAATTTTGTTCACAAAATGTATTGTTTAATATTTTAAGATCAACTTCTTGTAGTACTGAAGGTTGGGATCCATCAAATAGAGTGTCACCAAAACCAGATACATATGCTGTCTCATCGGATATAAAACTATTGTTAATCCATTGCTTTTTAGGTAGACATACGGCTGTGATCTCATCATTGAAAGCAATCTCTCTCTTACTACGAATAACAGCCAAATCGTGATAAATCCTGGGCTGAAAATATCTTTCGTGAGCCATTATGTGTGAAATACGATAAACTGTTCCGTTAAATAGCCGAACAGAGCCAACTCGGATGTGATAATCTTGCGGTTTTCTGAATATTAATAATTAAATTCATTTATTTTCATTGTTGGACTAGCAGCAAACATTATAACTCCACATTAGGTTTACTTAAAATTATAAATATAAAATGTGCACACTTACCGACTATTATCAAAACAATGTGCGGCCGTAATAACATGTTTCT